CACCATGGACCTGCCAGGGACACAGTAGGTCTGATCCCGGTGGATGACCTGCTCAATTGCTCTCCCCAGTCTGGAGGCCAATACTTTGGACAGGAGTTTGTAGTCCACACAGAGTAAAGACACAGGGTGCCAGTTTCTGATGTCCTGCAGGTTCCCCTTCTTGGGAAGCGAGTGAGGACTGCTCTCCTGCAGGACACTGACATGGAACCAAAGGCAAGGCACTCATTAAAGACGTCTATGACATCCTTACCCAGCATGTCCCAGAAGGTCTTGTAGAATTCGGTGGTGAGCGCATCGATCCCTGGAGACCTGTTCGTTGACATTGCTTGCAGTTCCACCTGCAGCTCCTTCATTTCAAGGCAGGCCTCCAGCTGCCTGTTCGTCTCCGTAGAGACCTGAGGTAGTCCCCTCGGGAACCCCACGAGGAGACCTTGCTCCTCTCTATACTCACTCCTGTACAGGGATGCATAGAAGCTCACTACCTTTTTCTGCATCTGGCGTGGTTCCGAGATCTCCTGCCCCGTGTCTGAGAGCAGTGTGTGTACTACTTTCCCCTGTCCGTTCTTTTTCTCCATACTGAAGAGGAAGCTAGAGGGAGCATCCATCCCCGAGATGGTCCGGTACCGGGACTGGACAGGAGCGCCCTGCCCTTTAATGTTCAGCAGGTTGGCTAAAGCCATTTTTTGCCTTTGAGGCTTTTCAGTGTAGCTTCGATTTCCTGTGGACTTGCTCAAATGCTCCAGCTCCACTATTTCAGTCTCTAGCTCTTTCATAGATCTGGTGATCACCTGTGACATTTAGGGTGTGCTGCTGACACAGAAGTTTAATCTGAGTCTAGCTGTGGTCCCACCAATGCCTAAGGCTGCCAAAACCCCCCTTCTTCTGTCTAAAAACCTGCCAAAAAAACATTAAAGCCTCTCTCTTTATTATTATAGATTTTATTTTATATTTTCATAACAATGTACATTATGCATATATATGTATACATAAATAAATCAAATCAAATAAAGCATATAGGAACACTGTTATGTTACATAAGGTGCTTGTGTAAAAGGTGCCCGTGTGTATTGTACAGTCCAGTTTTACAGGTCAGAGTTGAGCAAACAGATGGCCTGAGGGAAGAAACTCTTTCTCATTCTCTGAGTGGCAGTCTTTAGGCAACAATAGCATCGGCCTGATGGCAGCAGGGAGAAAAGACATTTTCCAGGATGGCTAGGCTGCTTCAGGATCTTCACAGTCCTTGACCTGCATCGTTGGGTGTAGATGTCCTGCAGGTTGGGGAGGGTGGATCTGATAGTCTACTCAGCTAAACAGACCACCCTCCTCAGGACCAAGAAGTCCTGCTTGGTGCAGCTGCCCATCCAGGTGGTAATGCTCCTGCACAGGATGCTCTCAGTGGTGCAGGTGTAAAAGTTCCTGAGCACTGTGAGTAGGAGCTTGACGTCTCTCAGGCATCTGAGGTGGAAGAGATGCTGTCTGGCCTTCTTCACAGTGGTCTTTATGTGAAGTGACTAAGACAGGTCCTGTGTGATTGTCACCTAAATATTTAAAACAGTCCACTCTTTCCACCTCAGACCCACTGATGCATAGTGGATGGAAGGCCCTCTGCTGTTTCCTGATGAAATCCACAATCAGTTCCTTTCTTTTGCTGACATTCAGCAGGAGATTATTCTCCTGGCACCAGTTCTCCAGGTGGATGACCTCCATCCTGTAGGCCTGCTCGTCATTGTGGGAAATGAGCCCCACAATGGCCATATCGTCAGCAAACTTTGAAGATACTGTCTGATGTGGATACGCAGTCATGTGTGTACAGAGAGTACAGCAGAGGGTTCAGCACACAGTCCTGAGGAGATCCAATGTTGAGGGTGAGGGTGCATGATATGTGGTTATCCATGCGTACCACCTGTGGACCCACCTACACAGGGAGGTGTTCAGTCCAAGATCACACAGCTTAGTGGCCAGCCTGGAGGGCACTATGTTGTTGAATGCTGAACTGTAATCCACGAACATCACTCTTACGTAGTTCCCTCTCCCAGTGTCCACATGGGACCGAGTTTTGTGGAAAATGAAGGCAATGGCGTCATCTGTTGATCTGCCTGGGGACCGCCGACTGGTAGAATGACTCGACAAAACCAAAAAGACTATGTAAAGCTAAATTGTCACCTGTAACCTGAAAAATTGTACCTTTCACAGGAGTGGCTGAAAAGGGCATCTGCATTCCTTCATTCTCTAAAATCTTTAGATCATCAGTTAGTGGCTTTAAAATAGGATCAAACCCATATTTCTTCAAATCCTCTGAGTGAAAAAGGGATACAAGGTGAATGTTCATTAACATAGAATTAAGCTTTGGTGGCAAATTTTTCAAAATAAAATAAATACAACCAAGTTTGTGCACTCCCTTTTTTGAACCTAATGGATTTGCAGTTTCAAAATCGTCGTAGTAGAGCTGAATCTGAAGAGCATGTTCTTCTTTTGAGAATAAATTGTGATTCCTGAAGTAGGAGCCATCGTTTACATCTCTGTAAATACCCTCTTGAAATGGTTTTGCGTTTTGAAAAATATTACATAGTTCACTGTTCCTAAACATAGATACCAGAGACCCCATGATGGGTACATACATAAACTTATCATTGACAGGAACTTGCCTGTATGTGCCTGTTGTTCTATCCCTGCGTAGATCGAAATGCACACCAAGAACATACTCTACAGGTTCAACTATTTTCCATTTTTCTTCAAAATGCCTCTTCCTTTTGGATTCTGTGTTAAGAGATGAGAATGGATTTTCAAGATGGTCAAAACACTCTTCAATTTTCTGCAAGGTTTCTCCAGATGCATCAGATGACAAACACTCAACAACAGTTTCTTTTGCATGGGCATGGATGTCATTAACCAGTTCCTTCATTGAACCAACTAAACATTGCACAGTACTTTCAGGAACTCCAGAGGCTTGTACTTGAGCAATAACAGAGCTGCACATGTCCAATATATGCCTTTTTTCAATTGGAATGTGTGTAGTGAAAGTCATGGGAGGATCCACATTCACTTGCTGTGAAACAGAGCCTCCAACATTAGCTACAGACTCAAACTCAAAATTTCTGACATTATCCGAGTCAGCACAGTCTCCATGGGCTCTAGATAAGTGCCATTTGCAACCAGAATACGTGCAAAAAAAAAAAGAGCATCCAGGCTCTCCACAGTTCAAACGCAAAGACCTCCCGGGGTACAAACCATGCTGAAACTTTAAATGTCTAAATAACACTGAACAACTTGTGTGGTGTACCTTGCAAATGTAACATGTGAACATGTTTACAGCCAAAGATGTGTTCCTTTTCTCTTGCTTTGACTTCCTTGACCCGAGGACTCTCTTTCACACTGCCAACATCAATGCCATAGATGGTGGTTTGCATGAATATGGAGAAGTTGCAAACGCGTCATCATATGACACAGAAAAAGCAAAATGTGCTTTGAAGAGCTCATCAAAGGCAGAAACACCATTCTGTATTGTACAGGGAATTACCTTTTGGTCCAGGACGATGTAGAAATTCTGGATGCTGTTCTTTCTTTCCCCTACACACAGGAGAAAGGGCTGAGCGTGGCCAGTTTTCTGAAGGAACATCTCAAGGCTTCTCCCCACCTGAAAGACAGAAAGCAAATTGATCACATGCGACTGAATTTGCTAATTTTGTCAGTGCTATTAGAAAAAGGTGATGACATCCGGACGATATAAAGGTGTAAAACAAAGTTTCCAGGTACTTATAAAGCAGTAAAAAAAGAAGTCTACACACCATTTGCTACAAGATACTGCTTTTATGTTCTCTGGTGTTGCAAGGTTGAAATCACAAAGCATCTTCTTCAGTCCTTCTTACAAAACATCGAAGACACTTTAAAAAGAGAGACAATGATACTAATTGCCGACACCTTTTGTTTTATTTTTTTCTCTTAAAAACATGTTTTGTAACACTGCCTGAAGATCCTGATCAAAATATTGCCACACCAGAGAAAATAAAAGCAGTAATTTGAAGTGTGTTGACCTTTTTTTTTTCTTCCCCCCCAGTGTCAGTACAATTACCCAGATGTTATAAAAATTAAATATACTAATGTTTGTCTCCAATGTCCAATGGAAACAAAGCTCCTCCTATGTTTAAAAAAAAAAAAAAAAATCTATCTGCATCACATTACACCACAGAGCCATCTAAAAACTGGTACCAACACTCAAAAACTATATACTGATTCACATCTCATCTGCACTTCAATAAGAGCATGCCTTCATGAACTTTATCAGGCGGCTAGTAGCATCCACTGCACTAATCTTTGAGGACCTTCTGCCCTTTGATGTTGATGGTAACAAGTGAAGTAGTAAGAGGATGCCAGCCACCTCACAGTCATATCCTATGGAATGACAATTAACACCATAGCAATCAATAGTTATGTTAAATAAATATGATTTAAAGTAAAGGTGTAAATTTAGGGGTACAAAATGGAAACATTTACAATTAACATATTCATCAGACTAGTAGCTCATCCGCCTGCGCAGCCGGAGTTAGATTTTTGCAATCTGCGATGATCCTTGGCTTGAAGAATGTCGGCCATTTTGCTAGGAATTTACCAGACACTTCCTCACCAAAGAGCATTGTGAAGTCCTGGTCAATCTTAACCACAAAACATAACAAAAATATTAGTGAGCAAAAACATATCACAACCACAAAGCTGCCAATAATTATTTTTATTTCTTACCAAGCCTGGTGTATCCAGGAATCTTGGGAAAAGGTCTAGGACTGTGGAGGCAGTGGCTGGATTTTGAACCACCTCTTGCCGGTGCTTAAATGTTGCTTTCATTTTGTCTTTGACAAGTTTGGTGTCAGTGGAGTGCCTCATCACCGAAATTGCTTCTTTGCATTCATCAACTGCCTCACATTTGTCAGAATGCTGCGAGGAGTCTTCGGGCCATTTTGAAAAATCGGCTTGGATTTCTTGACCTCTTCCGCAAAGTTGCGCTGCACAGTTTTTAACCTCCATGCCAGGTTTTGATCAGAGGGGTGTACTGAGGCTGTAGGAGGACTAGATTTTGGTCTGACTTCCCAAGTGGGGGGACGGGGGTAGCTCTGTATGCTGCATTCTGAGAGGATGAACAAGCTGCACTCCCGGTAGATACGCTGGTTGATCAGCACCAACATCTCGTCCATCTTGTTCTGCAAGGTGTTTACGTTTCCCATAATTACCGTTGGGATTGATGGTTTGAAACGCCTCCGGTCTGGTAGCCTAGCCTTCAGCTAGCGCCAGCCTTGCTACCCCGGTAACGCCTTCTCAGCTCAGCCGGGATGTGATGTCGTATTCCAGCCTGTGCCATCGGCTTTAGAGCCAGTAGCTCCTCTCGAGAAAAAGTGAAAAAATGTATTCACTAATTGTTTACTTTGTAACCATTTTATTTCACATTTTCTAAATAACAAACTGTTTCAGTAACTTTTTTTCTATGTGGCAATTGATTGTTTCATTTTAAGTTTCTTAAATTATTGTAGATTTTATCTTAAAGGGGATGAAATTTTAGGTTGGTTAAATTTTAATGCTTTTATTTATGAGCTACTACACTGAAGGAAAGCTAAGACAAATAACGATAGTTTTAAGTTTTAGTTCAGGGCCCTGCCCACACTTATTTTCATAGAGGGCAGGAACGTTACATAATGTTGATACCACATGAGAATATGAATCTGGACAGCCTATTGAGGGATGGGTTCTGGGGTTGGGTGGGGTCAGGTCAGATCAACTATTACCTCCAGTAGCAACATACCCACCATATACTGTCTTTCCAGCAAAGCAATTGCTGAAAAAGTCACTTAAAGTTCTGCTCAAAAGTGGTTCCAAAGTGCTGTAGCGAGGTGTTGCATTTGTATTGCAGTATACGATGAGCTTACAGAGAGAGAGACACTTTAGGGAGGTAAGCTGGCTCAGAGCACTGGCAGGGTACAACATTCCATACAGGTGGTGAGTGATCATCGGTGATTTGCATGTAGTGCTCCAAAAAAAAAAAAAAGAGTATGTAAAGGTAATCAGATCGAGGGGTTTGGCAGACAACTGTATGTAACTGCTGCATACTGTATGTTATTCTACCCACAGTGTATCCCTGACTATCTTCTTCACTGGTTTCTATAGGGCAATAAATACCTCGAAAAATTCGACTTCTTTCTGTCTCCTTGCTCTGTGGCCTGCAGTGCTGCAAAAGCAAGTCTGCCTGTCTGCCTGGAGCAACATCTACTGTGGCCTCACATGGCTTTTTACACTTTGCTTCCCCAGCCGCCATCCACTCGGTCTGATTTTGTGTGAGTCTATGATGACACGGATGCTGTTTCTGTAGCCTGGTTTTTCATGGTTGCTAGGTAACAGTGTGGGGGTTTGCCCACATGACAACACAGAGTCTCAGAAGCTGTGTAAGAGAGTATGTGTGTCTGGGTTCGTGTGGCTCATGGCAGACAAACAGCACTGTCTTTTAGTGAAGCAGGCACATACTTACTTACTCTTGACACGCTTCATCCTCTCTATCCTCCTCCCCATTAGTGGAAGAAACTCTGCTCCGTTCAGATACTTAACATAGGTGAGGAAATTTTTTATGCCTCCTTCGAGGCAGCAGCTATGGCTAGAGGCATTATGTTTTTAGCTTGTATGTCTATTTGTCTGCATGTATATATATCCATCTGTCCATCTGTGTCTCTGTCTGTCCCACTCCTGAACCAATATCTCGTTATTGCCCTGAGGGACTTTCTTTTGATGTGGCACAAAGATTCATTGAACAAACCCAGCAATGAAGTGATTGATGGTAGTCAAAGGTCAGTGGTCAAGGTCACTGGGATCTCACATAACATATTTTGGTCATAACTCAAAAATTCATACAAACGTTTTCACAACTGTTCACACATAGTCTGACTTGCCAGATGCAGAGCAAGTCAGACTCTCTACATTTGGTGAGTCAGCAGCTTTTTACACAGCTTACTTCTTCCCTTTTGCTACTTACATTTTACCCATTTTAAAAATCCCCTTCACTGTGAGAAATAACAACTGAAACCTTCAGGCAGTAATGTATATGCAATAAAAATCCAAGTTGTATAGAACAAGACAGCCCTGCTAGATTTGTTTGCTATTGTGAATTAGCACTTTTGATAACAATGCTGGCTCACTGCATGAGAATGTTCCCCTGTAGTAGAACAACACACAGCTTGTTTGTTAGAGCGGTCTGGCTATGCAAGACTATTTCAGACAATACCTTAATAGGATAAATTCTGCAATAACACCTCTGCTCACAGGTTGCAAAGTGCTCTGAGTGGGAGTCCAAGAATTTTAGAGCCAACCTTGATGGTGCCCTGCAGGCGTGTCTTGTTTTGCAGGCTGATGGCGTGAAACCAGCAGGTTATAGAGAATGCAGTGACACTCGAAATGAAAGAAAGGTAAAATGTCCTTAGGATGTTCCTGCTGACACCGAAAGTGTTAATCTTCCTCAGTAGATAGTGCTGCTGCTCACATTTTCTGAGGATCTCCCCAGTGTTGGAGGCAAATTTGAATGTGTGCCCAAGTATTTGTATTCATCTACTATCTCTACCTTCATCCCATGGATTGTGCTGACAGCTATTGTAGCCAGCTCCCTGTGCTTGCTGGAGAGGGTCATCACCATCTCTTTGTGTTTTCTCCACGTTCAGTTCCAGGGAAGAAGGGGGTGTTTTATTTGAAAGTAACCTTCAACCCAGCGTCTTTTTTTTTCAGCGTTCAAAATGTTTTTGTTGCATGCAGAAATAAAATTTCATTTTCTCTGTAACAGTTCATTTTTTTTCATAAATGCAACACACTATAGTTTTTTATACATAGCATAAAGGTAAAATATATATATGCAGTGTTATCTTCATTTTAGATGTCAAAAAAGGTTTTGTGGCTGTGGGAAACGGGTCCAAACGGCTCTTTGAGTGCTTAAGGTTGCCGACCCCTGGAATAGAGGATGAAGAGCAGAGGTGAAGGAGATGTTGGAGAAGGTGTTATTGACCTGTGATCTGTTCGTCAGGAAGTCTGTAGTCCACAGGATTAGCTGGTCCTCCAGGCGGAAGCAGGTGGAGAGTTTCTCCACTAGGATGTGTGGCTTTAGATTGTCGAATGCAAAGTGAAGATGAAGACCATCCCAACAGTGTGTCTGCAGAGATGTGTCTGTAATTTTTACCTCTTGCAGGAACTAGTAAACACTGGATTTGATCAGGAGGGTTGAAACATAAAACTCAATGGATTTATGTGATAGGTGTCTCCTCTCACAGTAATGAGGAGCCCTTTTCAGACATGAAACATGTAGCATTTCATCAATCCAATAAAGTTACAGTACTCTGTCATTCAGACATTGTTCACTTTGACATCAATGTTCCTTACAGCTTCATTCAGACCTACCCCCCCAGAGTGACAGAGGGAGCTGTGGTATGCATGTGATAGCCATCATTAATGCAAGATTAGACAATAACCTGGTAATGATTTATACATAATGATGCACTAGCAACACAATACTAAAAGCAGCTTATTAAAGTGTTCAACTAACAAACTGTCTAGTGTATTTATGATTTCCCTGAACACTAACAATTCTGTCACTGTGTGATGATAATTAACTACTACTTTATCAACAGTGAAAGAACAGTGTAACTCATTTGAACTTGTTCAAATTCATTTGGATCCTGTTGCTGTCTGATGCTGCAGGTATTTCACAAACTAACAGTAACGATCCCAGCTGTAAACAATAAACTAAACTGTTGCTTTGGACTTTCACTGTGACAACCCACTTTTCTAATGTGAAAAAAAAAAAAACATAGTGTGACTTGCTATTAGAGCCTGACACAGACATATCCTGTCTCCATCTCTGGGATAATTTAAAATCACAGTAATTAATGAAGTCGCTGCCACTGTTGTTCTATGAGTGAAAATATGTGAAGCTCTGTTACTTTGGATATGTTCAAATGGATTTTGCTGCTGTAGGTATTTAATGAACTCAGTGGAAAGACTTTCTGTTTCTATGGCATTTGCACATCCATGGCCTAGCCAGCTGTCAAAGACAAGACATGCACTGGCCCTTTAATGGATGGACCGCTCCATTCATATTCGCAGGGGAGAACTCATTGGCAAACAATTAGATACACCTATATTAAACAAAAATATATAAAAAATAAAGGGGATATACTAAAAAAAGCTACATAGAAAGCCAAGGTTTGAGAAAGCAAAGGCTTACAGTCGGTTGAAAATGCAGTTAAGACGCAGTTAGTCCATGGCAGCTTTCCCATCCAGCTCCATTTCTCCGCCTCAATGCAGAAATGCAGAGACTGAGCTGTTCGCAGCTGCGTCAAGCTGGCCGCTTTAGTCCAAAAAAAAAAGAAAGAAAGAAAAAAAACCTCACCGGAAAATATTGAATTTTTATCTTCAAAATAAAAGTACAAACATGCTTACATTTATGTCTTTAAATCAAATGTATCACATGGGGGAGGGACAGCACTCATTTATCCACCCAGAGACTATAGTGATCTGAGGTACAGTTCACTATTGTTGATTTGTGAAATTAACCTCTGTTCATTCTTTCCTAAGTGGAAAGTGTAATGCTGTTTATATATGTATTATGCACGTAGAATGCATTACGCAAGGCGAATCTGTACACACATCCTTACAAAAGTGTCAGCAACGTTACAACCACGATAGACCGGAGAAAAAATTGGGACGTTATGTTGAAGGTGGAGACCGGAGACTCCGGTGCTCTTCCCGGTGGCTTTACAGCGGTGCTGCTGTAACAGGATGCTGTCAGGCCGAACAGACGTAGCGACCTAACGGAGACAACCCACACCAGCATCCTTTGTTTTCTGGAGCTGGAGATCAAGGTAAGGACGGCTAACTAGCTTGGTAACGATGCCAGCTTGTCTGTCTGCCATACCAATGTTGATGAAACATGACTGAGGTTGCTGACGGTGAGCTGGAGCTGTTTTTTTCTTCTTCATTTTCAGCCATGTTCAAACTATGGCTATTGTTCGGCATATTGTCATTCAGGCAGCATATTCATGTAACGCAAGAGAAATGAGTTTAGCTAAAGGGCTAATGTGCGCCTGAGCTTTGTGGTACTGTGTTGTGTAAACAGCTGCTGGAGTTGTGGGTGGCGGTACAGAGCTAGCTTGCAGCACAGGAACAGACATTGTAGAACATCCATGGCTGCTGCCTGAGATGTGTGTGTGTGTGTGTGTGTGTATGTGTGTGTGTGTGTTGGGGAGGGGGGGTATTGCGGTGCACCACCACCCCAGCGCGCGCATGCACGCACATAGAGGTGCAGTTGGTGTCGGTGCTGATGTGCAGCTCCGGACACATGTCCAGTCACTAAGCAGCTCTCTGCTCTGCCTCTGGACGAACAGCGCATACGGACGGGCCTGCTGTGTTTTGGGGGCTGGTGGACGCTGTCCAGGCTTTAAATTGCTTATTGACTGTTGTCGTAAATCTGTGTTCAAATTCCCGTGGACACCCCACTGTTCATTCTTGTTGTGATGATTATGTTGTATATATTGTATACTGATTTAAGTGTTTCAGTGTTGGTCCCAGTATAATATTTAGGTTTCAATAAGGGGTAGGAGCCACAGCTGAAACATTTATCATGAGAAAATGTTTTTATTTCATTTAATATTGATAATTGCTGCTGTTTTTTTTTTAAACCTATTTTTAAAACAGATCAGGAGAAAGAAAAAACTGTCAAAGTTTATTTTTTAATTTAACCACTGTAGCTTATTTATCAAAGTACATAGGTAGTAATGGTATTGCTAACACAGCAAAGAAAAACACACAAAACTAAATATGTTTACACACATAAAAAAGTAATTAACAAGGAAAAAGAAATTATGTATACATATCATATAAGAAGTAAAACTGTGAGGAACATTGAAGGGGATGAGGACGAAGCCGGTGCACTGTGCTGAATTTAAGGCACCAAGTGGTTTGCCTTGATTTAGTGTAACCTGACGGGGCCCTGCACTGGTCTCCATGTGTGGCAGGCCACCGTGAGTGCATTACGTAGGTGGAGGTGGTGGGGACACAGGGCATTAAATGTGTTAGATCATGAAGCCCATCTCCCTAGGGCCTCCATTAGGGGTGGTATGGGGATGCAGATGGAGGTGATGAAAGGTGCCTGCAAACTAGAAAGCCATGGAAGACTTGCACGGAAGCCCTGGTGACAGTGATGGAGGCCGAAGAGGCTCCATTATTAAGATATGATAGGCTGTTTGTGAACCAGGGATGGAGCACATGTTGAATTTGTTCATACAGTCAAACTTTGCATCTTCTTAAGTGCTTTGTTCGTTTACATTTAATGTTAAAGTTCGTAACTGATGAAAATGTATGTAGGTTTTCTTAATATATATTGTTGAAGTGTCTGTTGCCCGTACATATCCAGTGCATGTCTGTTGTTTTATCACCCAGGCAGCATTTCATTACCAACGTGATGAACTTCGACCATTTGTTCCAGTAGTGCAGTTTTACCGTTTAATAGCAAGTTTATTATAATGATACAAAGTCAAGACTGACTGCACTGTTGAATGTCACACAGTGCAAAATGTCTTTGTAGCCCTGGAGGTCCACGCAGAGAAGAGCTGTCGTGAAGATGGTGGATAATTCCTGGATGGCTACAACTTGTGATGATTTATATGGGGCAGTGTATGAGCCCCGATGACTTGCTAGGAGCACTCACAACTGAATTAATGCAATGTGAAAGAACATAATTCTGGCCTGTTAAAGATACATTCCAGTATTTCCCACACATAGCACTGCATGTCAAAATGAATAGCTAAATACTAGTATTTAACTACTATTCGTCATGTGATATAGTTTGCCATCCAGTTGCGTGACATGATGAAAAATATGGTTCAAAGTGGTTATTGGGAGCTCCTTGCTTTGAGGGCGTGGGAGCAAACATTTGCCTGGTTTGCCTCTTGATGGTGTACCTCAGCAAATGTCATTCACTGAGGTGCAGTAAATAAAAGTTGTAAATATAAGTAAAGGTAGTGACACTGCAGTGAAAGTATCCCATGGCTCATATCCCAGGACTCATAGAGCTAATCTATAGAACTGACAATACATGGCTATATACGTGTTTAGAAAACAAACGAAAAATATGGAAAGCTATTAAACCATCCAAAGTAAATAACAACATATCATAGTAATAGATATTCCCATCGATCTGGGAGACTAGTGACCAAGTAATGTTCTTGTAGTAATACACAGTCATTGCCAAAGCTATGTTTTCTTTTAACTGTCAGTGTGCCAGTCAGCAGGCTTGATAATGACCGAAAACTTTGAATAAAAAAAATTTGTAACTGTGTGAGATTGAGGTCCTACGTGAGAGTGGCCAAGGATGAATGGTATAACATTTTCATCATTCGAAAAATCATGAAAGAAGTCAATGTTCAGTAAATGCTAAAAATAAGTTAGTCCTAGCAGGTGGACCATTTCAAAGTTGTGAAAATACAGGGGTGTTTACAGGTGGTTCGTTCCTTCGCCAAAAATCATGGATTTATCCTGGAAGGCTTCACTGGCAATTGTCTGACCAATGAGAACTTAGCTGGATGAGAACATTTCGACCAATTGACCAGTAGGAGGTGGGGCACTCCATCCACTGGGTCAGATATATACCAGGGGTGTGCATCTCTACCTTAAGAGGCGATCTGCTACAAATCTAGATACATGGATTACGATACAATTCACTCACGTCACATTTTAATACAATATGATACAATGTGATCTGATGCGATGCAGCTTGAATCTATTTGTGTGATGAAAAAAATTTAAGAGAAATGTATCAGGTCAGAATAATGTCATTATGTTTAGTTTTCGAATACACACAGACAAGACAGACTGTTGTTGTATTAAATATGAGAAAAGATTAACATTAACCCCTTCAGTATGTTGCATCCATAAACTTTGCAAACTGAAAACATTCAGCATGGCCTCAGTTTGTTCTGATGTATTTTATCAAACAAAACTAATGTTGTGCTCCGTGTTGTTGTGGTGGGAGGCTGCTATGTGTGTTTCAGTGAACATGCCCGAGTAAGTTCTGCTCTGTATCTCTGACACTGAATGCACAGACTGCCACACAAAACAACACAACGTGCTTCTGTGTTGAGGGTTTTGCTTTTTGAGACGATAATTAGTTTTGTGTGTTGGTATTAAACAGGCAGCGTGTGTTGTGTTGAGTTGTGACTATTACCAGTTGATCTGAAAAACCACCAGGTGTTAAACACCTGACAGAATGGAAAAGACCTATAGGAATGAAAAGGGATCCTAATCGAGCTGATCGGTGGCACAATTTAGGGTGGCTGTGGCTCAGGTGGTAGAGCGGTTGTCCTCTGATGGCAAGGTTGGCGGTTTGCCCCTCCACAGTCGAAGTGTCTTTGGGCAAGACACTGAACCTGAAGTTGCTCCCAATGGCAGGCTAACGCCTTGCATGGCAGCTCTGTCGTCATTGGTGTATGAATGTGTGCGTAAATGGGTGAATAAGAAAACATTGTAAAGTGCTTTGAGTACTACCAAGGTAGAAAAGCGCTACGTAAGTGCAGACCATTTACCGTTTACAATGCATAGAATGCCAAACTCGTATTTTTACCGTTGGACTACATAGTTTTAAGTCCTCTCACTGAACTAAAAAATATGTGTTTTTTTTATTTTGGTCAGCACGTTTGATTTTGCTGTCCTGTAGATGATATAGACATGGATTTAGATTTATTAACAAGGGACGCTTACGTTTTTGAGGTCTTCTTTATGTAGTATCTTTATCTTCACACACAGACAGGTCTGGTCATGAAGAATCTGCAAACGGAACATCTGGAGCATAAACACAGCAAACATCACCAGTTAAACTGGAACACTGGTGCTGTCGGTCATGCTGTTGTGTTGTTGTTGCTAGCAAACACGTTAAGCTAATGTTGTTCTCATGATACGTCACGGCCGGAGTCTCGCGAGACTGGAGCGGCCGTATTTAGTAACAGAGCTCCAATCAACCAATTCATAACTGTACAACCAGACATCGACCGCTCCACAGTAGATATAGATTGATTCAGAGGCATGTATTCATATCGCTTAAGTTAAAATCGATTTCCGGTTGTATCTGTGAATCTTTACACTCCTAATATATACATAAATTCAGATTTTTTCTACAGTAAAACTGAAATCTCAGGACTCAATCTGAAGATGGTCAAAATGAATTCAGTGTGATCCACTTTCTTTCGGTCAGGGATAACTTCTTATTAAAACTAACTAATGAACTTCCTGCTGTTGTTAAGGAGAGCAGCTCTCTTTCTCTCCTTGGAGACACTCGCAGATCCAACTTCTGTCTGATGCTGCAGGTTTGTAATAAATTATGAAGAAGCAGACCTTAACAGCTTTAAACTAAACTGCCATTCTGCATGTGACGTCTCATCTGTCTGATGTGAAGACATGTAGGCCAACACAGTGTAACCTTGCTGTCGTTCCAGGCCTAGACTGATCCATATTCTATGCTCTGTCAGGGTCAATTTATATTCATGATAATTTACTTAAGTTACCAGTTCTGTTGTTCTACTTGGAAAAGTGTGCACAACTCTCTCTGTTTGGAGACACACATACGGATCCTTCTGCTTTATGATACTGCAGGTATTAAGTAAACTCAGAAGGAATAGTTCTGACCAGCTGGAAGGAACAGATTTCAGCTGGTGTTGTGGGGGAAAATAACTCAGACTGCATTCGTCATTAGTATCAATAATCTTAAAGCAGTGGGTGTCTCTCTTTATCGCAGTAAAGTTGTATTAGGGATATTTCATTTTTTAGTCTAGCAGATTTGAAATTGTTGAGAAAAATAAGGTGAGGAAAGATT